TGCTTCTTATACAGTAGCCGTGCGACGTGTTCGTACATCCCCAAGTAGCAGCGGGTCTCTGCATCACCATTCTTCATGGGTGTGTAAGCGGCGTTGGCTACAAGCCCGTCAGTAACTAATGGTTTCCTTGGGCGAATCATTTTAAGGCGCTGGAATATATATAAGAGAGAGAGTCAGAGAGTCTTTGACTCTCTGTGGTCATAGCGTCAGTGGACCAGACGACACCAGAGTCCAACCCGTTCTCGCAAATTTAATAAGTCAATATTGACTTATTAAATATGTGCATAGGTGACATACTTAACAATAGTTTCCCTTGAAAAGCTTCATAGAAAACACCGACCTTACCTAACCTACTTAGTATGTTAAGATAAGCATCTTATTGCTTCGTAATTACAATTATTACCTAACCTATACCTATAATAGGTTAAGTAACAAGGTAGCAGGAATTCTGTCGAGTGTCAGATACCACAAGGCCCCAAGACTTATATGGAACGTCAAGTTGATGCGAAATTGAAATTGAAATAAGTTTATTGAGGCTAACAGCTTCTCCCCCGAATCAACCAACCTTGGCTTTGCGCCCTGGTGAGGCCACTCCAGACCGACAACCAGAGCGCAACTCCATAGTCTCCTGAGACTGATGGATGACTACTAATACTTATTGAGGTAAAATACACACAAAGGGACATGGTAGCTCAAGCTATTCTCACCCCGTTATGCGGTCTTGAAGGCTCATGTGTACTCACCTAGTTGTGCTTGCGGGGGTTGAGCTTCGGCTCTTTGATCCCGCCTCTCAACTGTCAATCAACAGGTGTACAGATTCCTGAGCCTATTGGGGTCTATCATATCTACACTTGAAACTGTGTATGGAGTCAGCCTCTATCACATCACTCCCTAATGCATTCCATTTGTCAACCACTCTGACACTGAAAAAGTTCTTTCTAATGTCTCTGTGGCTCATTTGGGCGCTCAGTTTCCACCTGTGTCCTCTTGGTTTCCACCCCTTTAGAGTTTGTCCCACTTGTCAATTCCCCTGATTTTGTAGGCGGTTATCATATCTCCCCTTACTCTCGTGTGTGTGTGTACTCACCTAACTGTGCTTGCGGGGGTTGAGCTCTGGCTCTTTGGTCCCGCCTCTCAACCGTCAATCAACTGGTGTACAGATTCCTGAGCCTATTGGGCTCTATCATATCTACATTTGAAACTGTGTATGGAGTCAGCCTCCACCACATCACTTCCTAATGCATTCGTCTCTCTCTCTCTCTCTCTCTCTCTCTCTCTCTCTCTCTCTCTCTCTCTCTCTCTATCTCTCTCTCTCTGTCTCTATCTCTGTCTCTGTCTCTGTCTCTGTCTCTGTCTCTCTCTGTCTCTGTCTCTCTGTCTCTCTCTGTCTCTCTCTCTGTCTCTGTCTCTGTCTCTGTCTCTGTCTCTCTCGTCTCTCTCTCTCTCTCTCTCTCTCTCTCTCTCTCTCTCTCTCTCTCTGTCTCTGTCTCTCTCTCTCTCTCTCTCTCTCTCTCTCTCTCTCTGTTCGTATGGGGGGAGGGGTTTCCCTATCAACAGTGACGTCATGATACTATGCACAGGACCCCCACACCGTCTGAATCACCCTGGCATGTAAACAAGGCAATTTGAAAGGTGTTAATTAGTCCCATTTAGCGTCGATTACGAAGCTTAGTGGCAGGGTGTAGGTGTGAGGGTGTCCCACACTCACCTAGTTGTACCTGTGAGGGGGTTGAGCTTCGGCTCTATGGTCCCGCCACTCAACTGTCAGTCAGCGTACAAGTCAATACACTGTGCTGGCAAATAGTTGGTACAGCTGCAGCCTTGTTTCATACAGGATAAGAAGGACCCCCAAATCCCGCTATACCAGAGGACACTTTTCATGTTGCTGCTGCTGCTGTTGTGTTCGTCAGAGAGGCAGTTTGGAGAGTTGGTTTAACGAGAGCGCAATGTTTGGGACAACTTAACTGCTTTACGAGGCGGAGCGGGGTAGTGTAACAATAGACAGAACGAGAGGAGTTGTCCCTTCCCAGTATTAAAAGCAGAATTCAGGAGCTGAATGCTAAGCTTGCAATTAAGATAGCCAGAGATCCCCATTACAATGATATTGCCAAGAAAAAACTGAGCTCTGTGCTACTTTCAGGGGGAAACAGGAGAAGCAAAAAATGGCATCACAGAGCAGTCTGCTACCTTGAAGAGCTTCACCTGCTTGAGCAAGCCCGTGAGCTCCTGCCTGTAGAGAGGTTACCTCCCTGGGAGGATGACTCGTGCAAGATCATCATCAATGAAATGGCAATGAAAAAATCCAACATGATACCACAAGAAATGAGGCACAAGTATCTCGAGGACATTTATAAAGAAGCCGGAGATGAATTAGATCAAATCTACACTGACGGGTCATCTAATCCTGCCAATGGCAGGGCTGGTGCAGCATACACGGTAATCAAGGATAATACCTTCCAAGGCAGAAATGAAGACAAAGCACGTATTGAGAACTGTGCCTCTTCAACGCAAGCAGAGCTAACTGCCATTGTTATGGCGTTAAGATTTCTTGAACGGAACACTAATGGCGCAGTGATTTGCACCGATTCAAAAGCAGCACTGCAAAGCCTAAGTAAAAATCAGACAGAAAATCTTGCAATAGCCGCTGAAATCAAGAGAGCTGTGAGAGTACTTACCAACCAGGGAAGAGTCATCAAGTTCCTGTGGATCCCTTCCCATGTTGGAATATGTGGGAATGAACGAGCAGATGTGCTGGCTGCTGAAGGCGCTGAAGGAGACCATATTGAATACTTCATACCCAAGACTCTACTACAAATTAGAGGTATTATCAGGCAACATCACCGTGACAAGGTAACTGAGGAAAGGAGGATAGAAGCACAAACCAGTGAATCTGTACGATGGTACAACATGGTTGCAGCTGGCAATCCCAATCAGTATGGCCGAAGAGGAGGACGACGAGGGAGAGAATCTGTAATAGCGAGAATCCGTCTTGGATACAAATATCCATGGAGATTTGGAATGGAAACAACAGTTGATCAGCGAAGTTGCAGAATCTGTGGTGAGAGTGATGGACACCGCCTTGACCACTATCAACGTGAATGTGAACACCTGAGAGACATTAGGAATATGTGTAGAATAATAAACCCCACATTGTTTGAGTTAGGAAAACACTTTTTGTCAAATGTTGATACTGTTCTTAAAAGATTTCCCAATTTTGCACCCGCAAGATAACGTAAGCTTTTAAGGGTTGATAAATGTTAATCTTCTTGTTTGAGGAGCTGTTCACTTGAGACAGTTAAGCAAATGTACCTTGTACCCAGCTGTGTCTGGGTACAAGTGACAGGATGAACAACCCAGCGGGTTTTCTTCCTATTGGGGAGTGTTGTACATTCTGCTATGGCGGTATGTTCACTCACAAGATGAGTGGCGCTGCCCAATAAACTCGCCCCTCGGGGCAAAATTAAAAAATTAAATTAATAGACAGAAGACTTAGTGGGTTAACTTAATGGACAGGAGGCCGCGTAGGCTAACTAAACAAGGAGAGGAGAGACTTTACACTACACACACAAGTCGGAGAAATAGGAGTCGCCTTCCTGCTGTCATGATACTTTAACGATGACCTTCAACCTCTCCTGTTGATGGGAGCCGGTCGGCCGAACGGACAGCACACTGGACTTGTGATCCTGTGGTCCTGGGTTCGATCCCAGGCGCCGGCGAGAAACAATGGGCAGAGTTTCTTTCACCCTATGCCCCTGTTACCTAGCAGTAAAATAGGTACCTGGGTGTTAGTCAGCTGTCACGGGCTGTTTCCTGGGGGTGGAGGTCTGGTCGAGGACCGGGCCGCGGGGACACTAAAGCCTCGAAATCATCTCAAGATAACCTCAAGAAGATAACCTCCTCACTGTCTCTCACACCACCTAACGACCTTGTTCCACCTTGCTATGACCTTCATGCTGAATCCTTGTCCTCGTACCCAAGTACCATATACTCGTAATGGCTTAGTGTTTTCTCCTGATCATTACCTTACCTCTGTACTAGTGATGATCTCGGATGTAGGTTCGAATCCTCGTCACGGCCCTTGTGGATTTGTTCTGTACTAGTGACGGCCCATACCTTAATATAATAATTAAGGGCAATAATGGCATAATTATACCAAAATTATTTATCTGAGGGCCGCTATCTCTCGACGAGGACAGGAAGCCGGCGGTTTGTCAAAGACCACCCATTTGTACCAACCCATCCTCCGAATTGACAGTACATTTCCTGACTGTTATACATAGTACATAATTGCACTTATGGGGCTGTTACATTTACTCAACCCCCTCCCCCGATTTAAATCTCCTCGTTTTCTGTTAGGACACTTGAAATTTTAAGATGAAATTATAAAGTTCAGTTGCCATAACAAATTTTAAATATTAGGATTTTCCTTTTCACTTTTATTAAACAATAGAGATTTTATACAAAATTTTAAAATATCCTGAGGTACTTTACAATTTATTGAAATATTTAAGTTTTGTTTTATTTGTTTTACAAAACTGTAATATCAATATAGCTATAGTTTAAGTAGTAGTTATAATTAAGATGCAATAAAATGCTTATCTTCACAAACTAAGACGGTCAGGTTAGGTCATGGTTTTCTATTCAGCTATTTAAGTAAATTCAAATATCCACAATATATTAGACAGTACGATTTACTACAAAGTGTAAATAAGTACAATTCTTGACTGTCATACATAGTACATAATTGCACTTATGGGGCTGTGTACATTTACCTCCCCATTTTTGGAGGACGGGCTGTTTGTACTGATGATTTTATTGAGCTGAATTCCGCAGCCTTTTCAGATGTTTGTGTTATTATATAATGTTAGAATACTGTTCAGTATAGGGGGTCTATATATTGCATTAACCCATTTATATATTATAGTATTTATGCATTTTATTCATACATATTTATGTATATATTTGTACGCCATATTAACCATTGGTCGTGTGTCTGGCAGGGCAGCACCCGGCAGCCATGCAGACGAATACAAGTGGGCGGAGCCTGGCTTCGCTGGCCAGTGTGGCAGTGGTCGGCGTGGGGGTCGCACTCAGCGTAGTTGTCCTCCTGTGCCGATGCTAAAACTACTGCTGCTTCAACTGTTCTGTTATGCTCATATGAGTTCATTTACTGTAGTATATTTTGAGAAAAACGTTTCCTCTCGTTACACGAGAGAGGAACGGTAGTTTAATTTTGTGGAGAGAGAAAAAAAATAGGTTTTATTCTTTTAATACCAAGGGAAATTTTGTATATTCTCTTGTTCGCGAGAGAAAACTGACTTTTGTGTTTCCCTAAGAAACGTTGATGAGAAAAAAAGTTTTATTCTCTTGTTACCGAGAGATAAACGTTCGATTCTCTTATTCCAGAGAACTAAAACAAAAAAAATTAACGTTTCCGCGAAAAGAAATAATTTAATACATTTTTTTCCACGACAAATTAGCAATTATTTTGTTCCAAGTAACGGGACTTGTCTCCTCTCTTTACCTCAGTATTACCATAACTTTTCACGGTACGAGTATATATATATATATATATATATATATATATATATATATATATATATATATATATATATATATATATATATATATATATATATATATATTATATATATATATATGACCGAAAAAGTAAGATTAATAATTCTAACACGAATTTTCTCTATCTTTCTTACGTTTCTTTTCACTGTTGATGGTAATTCAAAGATCAATTCTCCAAAATTCATTTTTATTTCTAGTCTGACGCGACACTTGAGCGCGTTTCGTAAAACTTATTACATTTTCAAAGACTTTAGTTTACAAACACACAACTGAAACTGAATAGAGCTTACACATCTTCGAGGTTTATATCTACATTTGGCTGAGGTGGATGAGGTGAAAAACGAACTTTCAACAATGGGTATTAAATTCCAACACAAGACAGAACACGAAACAATGGGTATTGAATGGGTATTAAATTCAAACACAAGACAGAACACGAAACAATGGGTATTGAATGGAAGTAATTGTAGAAAGCCTATTGGTCCATATTTCTTGATGCTTCTATATTGAAGCGGAGTCTTGAAGTGGGTAGAATATAGTTGTGCATTAATTGGCTGTTGATTGCTGGTGTTTGCACAACTATATTCTACCCACTTCAAGACTCTGCTCCAATATAGAAGCATCAAGAAATATGGACCAATAGGCTTTCTACAATTACTTCCATTCAATGCCCATTGTTTCGTGTTCTGTCTTGTGTTTGAATTTAATACGCATTCAATACCCATTGTTTCGTGTTCTGTCTTGTGTTGGAATTTAATGCCCATTGAATACCCATTGTTGAAAGTTCGTTTTTCACCTCATCCACCTCACCCAAATGTAGATATAAACCTCGAAGATGTGTAAGCTCTATTCAGTTTCAGTTGTGTGTTTGTAAACTAAAGTCTTTGAAAATGTAATAAGTTTTACGAAACGCGCTCAAGTGTCGCGTCAGACTAGAAATAAAAATGAATTTTGGAGAATTGATCTTTGAATTACCATCAACAGTGAAAAGAAACGTAAGAAAGATAGAGAAAATTCGTGTTAGAATTATTAATCTTACTTTTTCGGTCATATATATATATATATATATATATATATATATATATATATATATATATATATATATATATATATATATATATATATATATATATATACCTAGTAGCCAGAACGCAGTACTCGGCCTACTATGCAAGGGCCGAATTGTCTAATTAGCCAAGTTTTCTTGAATTTATATATTTTTCTATTTTTTCTTGTGAAATTATGAAGCTATCCATTTCATGATGTATGATTTCATTTTATTTAATTTGACTTAAAACTAACGCAGATATATGACCTAACCTAACCTAAACTAACATAACTAAGTCAATCATATAATCATTTATGTTCTTAATATAATGTAATAATAATAATTCAAATAAACCAATTGATTTTTGTTTTGTTTTGAAGCTAAAGAAAATCACTCTACCTATTAGAAAAATCGGGCCTTGCAGAGTAGGCCGAGAAGTGCGTTCTGGCTACTAGGTACATTAATATATATATATATATATATATATATATATATATATATATATATATATATATATATATATATATATATATATATATATTTGAAGTGCCAGATTATGATGATGTGTGTCTTGAATTTGCAACATTTTGTCATGGTGTTACATGAAATTGTTCTTTTTTTGTGATCGTTGGGGCCCTAGGTTGTTCTCTCTATGCTTCGTTGACAATTATGTATGTAATATATATATATATATATATATATATATATATATATATATATATATATATATATATATATATATATATATATATGTCGTACCTAGTAGCCAGAACTCACTTCTCAGCCTACTATGCAAGGCCCGATTTGCCTAATAAGCCAAGTTTTCCTGAATTAATGTTTTTTCGTATAATTTTTTTCTTATGAAAACCTAAAGCAACCTTTTCTCTATGTATGACCTCAATTTTTTTTATTGGAGTTAAAATTAGGTTAGGTATATGACCGTTAGGTAACGGTCCCTACCTACGTTAACCTAACCTCCATTTAAAGGTAAGGTTAGGTTAGGTAGTGAAAAAAAAAGCTAGGTTATCATTAGGTTAGGTAGGTTAGGTAGACGAAAAAACATTAATTCATGAAAACTTGGCTTATTAGGCAAATCGGGCCTTGAATAGTAGGCTGAGAAGTGCGTTCTGGCTATTAGGTACGACATATATATATATATATATATATAATATATATATATATATATATATATATATATATATATATATATATATATATATAATGTATATATGTATGTATATATATGTCGTACCTAGTAGCCAGAACGCACTTCTCAGCCTACTATGCAAGGCCCAATTTGCCTAATAAGCCAAGTTTTCATGAATTAATTGTTTTTCGACTACCTAACCTACCTAACCTAACCTAACTTTTTCGGCTACCTAACCTAACCTATAAAGATAGGTTAGGTTAGGTAGGGTTGGTTAGGTTCGGTCATATATCTACGCTAATTTTAACTCCAATAAAAAAAATTGACCTCATACATAATGAAATGGGTAGCTTTATCATTTCATAAGAAAAAATTTGAGAAAATATATTAATTCGGGAAAATTTGTCTTATTAGGCAAATCGGGCCTTGCATAGTAGGCTGAGAAGTGCATTCTGGCTACTAGGTACGACATATATATATATATATATATATATATATATATATATATATATATATATATATAATATATATATATATATATATATATATATATAATGAAAAAATTAATCCAATTTTCAGTTCCTGTTAAAACAAATATTGGCCAATCAATATACTTTTACTGTCTCTTCTAGAGAGCTGTTAACTTAATATATACAAAATGCTCAAAGTTTCTTGTGGCACATTAGGTGTACAGAACATTTTTAGGCGTTCCCGTGAGATGATGTGAGTGATGGTGATCTTATTGTGGGTGATGATTGGTGATCTTACTGTTTGGTGATGGTGATCTTATTGTGGGTGATGATTGGTGATCTTACTGTTTGGTGATGGTGATCTTATTGTGGGTGATGATTGGTGATCTTACTGTTTGGTGATGGTGATCTTATTGTGGGTGATGATTGGTGATCTTACTGTTTGGTGATGGTGATCTTATTGTGGGTGATGATTGGTGATCTTACTGTTTGGTGATGGTGATCTTATTGAGGTGTACATTAGTGATGATGACGATGGTGGTTTCTTGCGTTGATGTTGTTGGTGAGGTTTTTCAGTGTAAGTTGTTGTGTTGGTGGTGATGGGCGGTGCTGACCGATCACAGGCAGTGTTTTCAGTGTCCTTCGACCTTTTATGGAAATTACAACGTTCAGCTGTTGTGGTGGTGAGGTTTATTTACCATTTACATTTATTTACCTACGAGGGGAGCCTCGTAGCCTGGTGGATAGCGCGCAGGACTCGTAATTCTGTGGCGCGGGTTCGATTCCCGCACGAGGCAGAAAAAAATGGGCAAAGTTTCTTTCACCCTGAATGCCCCTGTTACCTAGCAGTAAATAGGTACCTGGGTGTTAGTCAGCTGTCACGGGCTGCTTCCTGGGGGTGGAGGCCTGGTCGAGGACCGGGCCGCGGGGACACTAAAAAAAGCCCCGAAATCATCTCAAGATAACCATCTCAAGAAGATAACCATGTTGTTCTGTTTAACAGTGGTGGGGGGGTTATATTCATTGAACATAATAACGTATGTTCATTGATATTGACGACCATGTTCGTCGTGTTCCCGGCAGTGGTAATCATTAGTAATTGATACGTTCGTTGATAAGTTTTAGTGTTTAGTGATGGTTGGGATGATGATGTGGCGGGGATGTTCAGTGGTGGTGGTGGTTACAATGTGATGATGTTTCTTGGTTACAACAGCTGATGGTGTTTGAAAATGTTCTAAGTTGTTCTCTCACGGTCTAAATCCATAACGAAGTCATTGTGCAATATTTGTACCATAACAAGGGACTGAGAGGGAGAGACAGATGATTTTTTATACATAAACGTTAAAAAGGCTCAGATGCCGAAGTCATATTATAAATTTAGTTAATTATTTTCGAGAGAATTTCCCAATGCAGACCAATTCTTCATGGGTGTGTTTTCCCAATTTTTCCCCAAGAATTTCCCAGATTGATTACGTACTTGTCTAACCACAACCCGTCATCAGGGACTGTGTTATTCCATCAGCCGACCCCAAAAACGCATTCATCAATTTTAACAATTTTATTTGAGAAAATTCCTATTCTTATAATGTTAGCATATTTGTTCACTGTTAGATGTAAGTTAGGTTAAGTATTTGAATTCTGTTTGAATTATTTGTACTTGTAGTACATGGGTTAAACCATCCAGTCCTCAGGCCAGGCTCGTTAAAGCAGCAGTCCCCCCCACAAGACGCATTGATCAACTCTACTATACTGTATACTGAAAATAGGTTTGCTTTCATATAAAGTAATGTTATTATTCAATAAAGTTCTATGTATAGTTAGGTGTTAAGGTTTTGTTGACGATTATTTGTATTTGAAGCACGTGGGTGAATCATTCACAGAGTTGTGATCATAGAATTCAGGACGACCTCTTTTCGACCTCGAAAAGAGGTCGTATGCGAGGCCGTGTTATAGAAATGTATGAACGTCATCGGGTGAGAGTCGTGTATAGAGCGTTTTTAATTTATAAACAGGAGGTTTGGTGGCTGGATTAATGAGCAGTTTGCCTTTGTTGATGAGGACGGACTACTACTTTTGACTGTGTCTGAAGAACCAAACTCAGACGAACACTCGAAGTGTGACTGACGACCCAGAAAGCCCAATTTGCCAATAGGGTCCATGAGCCAAATTCACGAAAGCACTTACGAACGTGTACATCTTTCCTCAATCTTTGACGGCTTTGGTTACATTTATTAAACAGTTTACAAGCATGAAAACTTCCCATTCAACTGTTGTTATTGTTATAAACAGCCTCCTGGTGCTTCGGAGCTCATTAACTGTTTAATAATGGTAAACAAAGCCGTCAAAGATTGAGAAA